CCCCAAAACCCCAAAACCCCAAAACCCCAAAACCCCAAAACCCCAAAACCCCAGTAAGATGAATTTTATAGAATTAATTATATTCATGTCAATACTAGCATTTATATCAGTAATTCTAAGTGGAGCTGATATAGTCCTCAACGGGTTTATTGGAATATACCAACTTGTTCTAGCAATAGTAATCTGAGCTTTGATCATCTCTGTATTGTGTAAGTATACTTAAAGTAAAAATGTCTAATGAATGTAAAAAGGCGCCTATGTTCTAATCATCTGCTCATTGACTTTTATCAAATTACTTTCTCAATTATATATGAACCAATGCTATAGGATGAAGTTGAGTCAAATCAAAAACATATTTATGGCATGTTGTAGTATCGAAGGTTGTCTTATTCATTATTTTGTTGGTGTGTAGCTACGCAAAAATGCTCGCTCTTGGAAATTCTGAAAACTCACTTTGGAAATGGTTTAGCGTGATAATTGCTATTCTGGCAATTATCTCACTACTGATACACGAAATTTTTTATTTGAAAAATTCTTTGCCAAAACTTGTAAGTAGATTATGATAAATTTGCATTTTAGAATCCAAATAAAACCAATAGCTTTGATGTTTCTCCAAAAAAGACATTATGGGCTGCTCCAAAAGAGAAGGCATCCACTCTTGAGATAAAACACACAGAGAAGAAGATTGATACTGAAAAAGAAAACTTAATTTAGAAAGATAGAAAGTTTCAAGCAGGTTAAAATACTATACATTTTAAGGAACGATTTGGATGTCCTACCTCTACCAGGAGAGCCTTTGAAAAGATTTTCCTCTCACAATTCTCTTGGTAAGTGATTATTAACCCTTTAGATTATGCAACTGATGTTGATGCACAGAGCAAAGGAAATAATGAAGGCTTAGATATTCATATGAAGGAACTTAACGACCAAAGGCGTATATTTCACCAATAATTTTATAGATAACAGCAATATCTTTGATTGACTGAAAGTGAGAAGAGATCGTATTCTTAGGGAATCAATGGAGTCTCCAAAATTTAACTCTATAAAATCAAGAGAGTCATCAATGAATCCAAATGGTTCAAAAGATGAGGCACTAGATTATGCAACATCACAATACAACATGCATCGAAATGACATGTTTAGAAAAAGAGTACCTATGTTTAGTTTTGATGGTGATAATACAAGTTCAATAAAGTCTAAAGAGTCGAGTAAATAAAACTACAAGTAAATAAGTCATCAGAGAATAGTCTGATCAGGTAATTGCTTGTTGTTAATATTACTAGTAATAAAACGGTTGATCTACCAAATACACCTAATTTTAACCCAACTTGGAAGAAGCAATCAACAACTTCCAAATCAAGAAGAAGGAATGCTCATTTCTACCAAAAAGCTTACTTTAAGAAATTATCAGAAATAATGGAGGAAACTGGGGAGGAGGTTAAAGAAGAAGACTCGTTAATTAAGAAGATAAATAGAGAGTCCACCTTGAGAGTCATCAATGAAATTTGAGAAAGCAACAGCGCGCTAGGTGCTCATCAAGAAGAAGGTATTAATAATTTATGAGTCGTCACAGTTTCTTGAATTAACTTTCTATTTTCCAGTTGTTTACGGTAAATAGGAATATCTTCGTGAAGTTTATCTGATTTAACTTCAAATGATAATACCAATCTTGATCAAGGATCTGCAACTGATATAAGTCAGAAGTTGAGTATTTCTTCAAATAAGCAGTCTCGTCAGAAAGAATCTTCATTAACTCCATCAGATCAAAGCAAGATTTCTTCCACCAAGAAGAAAAAGTCTACGCATACTCCTGATAATAGTAACGTTCCACTGACCAAGGTAATATTCGCTTGTAGCTTTTTAGGAGACTTCTGATGTAGTAGCTCCTTATTTCCCTAACCCAAGCTCGAACCATGATGATGCCCAGAGTCAAGCTAAACCTCTCGACAAGACTTCCAAATCCGTGCCAGTAATAAAAACAGACATTAAAAGAATTTCAAATGCTGTAAAATATGACTCAGGTAAGTTTTACTAAATATGAAACTAATAGTTCTCAACATCCAAGCAAACATAAGTGAAAAGAGTGGGGATGGAGCTTACAACCCATTCAAATCGAACTATAGACAGAGTAAGACTAGCGAAGAGTTTTAGAATCGCTATTGGTAAATTCATATTATTCATTTTCTATATCATTAACCAACTTTGGGGTTTTGGGGTTTTGGGGTTTTGGGGTTTTGGGG